AAAATAAAATACATATCAGGGGAAAGTAAATGAGTAATTTGGGCTAGGAAATTTAGATAAGACCAAGATAAGATCCTATAGAATAGCTAAGAGTGGGCAGCAGATGCAGCTCTGAGCTTCTCAGTAGCCAAGGCAAAGAGGGAAATGCAAGTGTTAGATTATTTCCAGTATCTGTAAGAATAAACACATGTTTTCTTAGAAAAAGCAAAGCCTTTTCTGGCACAGAGCATTGAGAAAAATTTCTTCTGCTCGTACCTTATAATGGGCATGATGTGTATGTACCATGTAGACAAGATTCTCAAGGTCTTTTGACTATATAATCAGGCCATTAAAATGTCCCTGGATGCAGGCTGATGGCAGATCCCTAAAGTATAGGCTTGGGGCAGGGCAAGACAAGGCATCGGGGGTGGGTGAGTGACTGTGATGTTGAATTTGATTTAAGAAAAAATAAAAATAAAATAAGAAATTCTGTAATGGTTGGCAAATGTTTTCTATAGAGCCAGATAGTAAATATTGGAGGCGTTGTGGGACATATGGTCTCTGCTGCCAGTCCTCAACTCTGCCCTTGTGGAGTGAAAGCAGCACAGATAACGTACAAACAAATGTGGCCGTGTTCCAATAAAACTTTATTTACAGAAGCAGGCTGTGGACTGGATTTGGCCTGTGGACCCGTGGTTGCTGACCCTGGCTCTAGAGGAAATAGAAGGACTGTGCAGCCTGGAGGCAGTCAACTGTGGGAAATGTGTGCTCTAACTTAGCTTGTAATAAGAATCCAATGAGAGTCTGACTTACTCTCTGGGGCAAGAATGCAGAATACAGATATTCCATACTCCTGTCTATGGACAGATCTCTGTACTTTGAAAATTGCCCAGAGGGTAGAGATGGGATCCTTAAATAAGAAACAAGACATCCTGCCAGGGCTTGTGCCTGAGATGGCCCCTGGCACACAGCAGCGGTGTGATGTGAGATAGCCCATACAGATGGGGATCCGAGAGTGGGGGACAGGCACACGTCAGAGGATGGGCTGAGGGACCCAGCTGGTACAGTATAAATAACGTTTATATAGCTCAAGGGTTCTCAAAGTATGATCCGGGACCAGCTGCAGCAGCATCACCTAGGAAAGTTTTAGAAATGCAAATTCTCAAGCCCCATCCCAGACCTGTTAATGAGAAGCTCTGGGAGTAGGGTACCACAATCTGCATTTTACTGGGCCCTTCAGGTGCTTCTGCAGCAAGCTCAATTTTGAGTACCACTGAGGCCACTGATCATAACCTCTGTGTTCCTCCTTTTGAGCAGGGAAAGATCCAGCAGATTCTCCAAAGTCTACACCCAAGTCCTCTCTGACTGCCAGTCTCATTCAGAAAGCCAAGCGCCAGAACAACACCTTTCCGTTCTTTGCTGAAGGACTCACACGGACCCGAACTGCCCAGGAAAAGGTTCTGGCCTTGGAGCAGCAGGTTCTGATGCTCACCAAGGAGTTAAAGTCTCAGAAGGTGAGCTCTGGCCCCACAGAGGCCCCAAGCTCCAGTGCACCCCTCTGAGCCTAGAGCCTCTGAACAAGCTAGACATGCTACATTAGCCCGGCCAGGCATGTGCCAGTCTCGGTCCTTAACAGACAAACTGGTGGTGGTGGGAAATGCTGTGCTGTTGGTTACTAAGGGCCATGTGGACACTCAGCCTGGGTGACGGAAGGCCTTCCAGGGCAGGATCTCTGGAACCTACTTTGTATTGCTCTTGGACTCCTCCTAGAAGACTGTGCCTGGCCTCACCCCACACTGAAGAGAGGCAGCATTTGGAGGAGGGGGATCTGGATGCAGGGTCCTGGGAAGGGCCCCCGAAGGAACTGGCAGCTGGTAACGGTGCAGATCGCTGAAGGACTATCACAGGACAGAGAAAGCAGGCAGGTCTGTTGTAGCTCTGGGGCTCAGCCAGGCCCAACAGGGGATAGTGACGAGGAAGATTTAGCCTTAATAGAGAAGTTAATTATAGCGGTTAAAAAAAAGAGTGACATGGTCATTGTAGAACACAGATCACATACATACACAAGCATTAAAATCATCCCCAAATCCTACAAGCCAGGGAATAAATCATGTTCGCTTTTTGGGGGCAACTTTGTGAAGTAGTGAGAATCACACTGCAGGGAGGTGAGGGGGACTGCAACCCTGGGCACAATAAAAGTAGTTAAACTAGCACAGTTACTGAAAATCCCCAGGGTGGTACCTGGTGGGGCCCCCAGGGGTGGGCCCCACTGAGAACCCAGGCTTCTTTTCCTCCGAGGGGAAGGCCCAAATCTTCATGTTTGAGGTTTGGCTGCCCTCAGTCTCTTCCTGCTTTATTTCCCAGCTCTGTGTACTTCTGAATAATCTCCCTCCTCTACATTTCTTGACCTCCTTTCTGCTGCTCTGTTTTTGAAGACAGTCCAGAAAAATGCTCTCCCTACCAAGTTTTGCCCCTTCTCTGCCTTTCTTGCCCTTAAGCAGATATTAGGGGAGACTTCTGTCCTGGCAGGTCAGGGCATACATTTGATGAAGCAGCTCGTGATTAGAGTCCTCCTAGGAGGAAGCTCATTCGTTCATAGGTTCGCACTTCAGTTGTGTATTCACCAGGTTTTTGTCGAGGGCCTGTGGTGTGCATGCAGTATTCTAGGCGCTGGGAACAGTGGGAAGAGACACGGGCCCTGCCCCTGCAGAGGCTTGCATGTCACAGCAGAGACAGGCGGTAAACACCCCGACACCCATGTACAGCATTACAGCGTGTGAAGTCCCCTCTGCTGCCACTTAGCAGCCCAGCTTCTTTTTCTTTGGTCATCTTCCCATCCTGCGGTGGAGCTGCTGGTGCTCCTGAGAGCCCAGAGGGCATCCGGCTGGGCTGGAGTACCTCCAGGCATGTGCCAGTCTGGTCCCTGGACCAGTACAGCGTAAGGCCCAGACCCCACCTGGCCAGGAAAAGCAAGCTGGATGTGAACACCGCCTCTCCTTTGACCCCACCTTCCCCTTCTTTCTAGGAAACCTGGGCAGCCTCCCTGGGCTTGGCCTTTGCTTCCAAGGTGTCGGGAATTGTCCAATGAAGGAGAGAGGCCCGGGAGACCGAGATTTCCTTGAGGTTTGCCCCCAGTGGCTGTGCCGCCCTGGAGGATGTGGCATCCTAAATAAATGAAGGCAAGCTCGTGGAGATCAGTCAGGGCTCCCCAGGCTACTGACAGCTTCCCTGCGGTCAGAGTGAAAATGGCAGGAGGAAGTTGTCCAAGCATTACAGAACCTGGACTTTCTTACTGGTTCACTTCCCAGCAAAGCTTGGCTTGGCCTGGGACCGATGGTCAGGAGGAGAGGAAGGCCTGCGGTCCCACTTTTGCCTCACCAGATGAGTGCTGTGCGTGCTGTCCAGCCCATCTCACAAGTGTGCTTTTGTCTGGTGGGCATCTTGGAGCACAGGCCTTAAAGTGGAAGGTGCCGTCCGCAGTTCTGGCCCTGAGCAAGTTTCTTAACCCCTAAAGCCTCAGCTTCCTCCTGTCCCTGGAGTTATAACAGTGCTTACTGCAGAGGCCTCCGTCCGGATGCATAAAGCCCAGTGCCTGGCATGCAGCAGCCTCCCGCCAGATGCAGGCTTTGGCTGCTATTATGGCATTCCCTGCCCTTCTCGTTGATTCCTTCTGGCTTTACAAGGAATGGCATGATCCTCTGAAGGGCTCTAGGAAGACAGATGGGTGCCCATGAGGGTCTCCAAGAAATGAGTGGCATAGCAGCAATGGGCAGAGGTCAAGTCTTCATCCCACATTAGGCAGGGGGAGCCCCAGCCCTACCAACTCTGGCGTTTTACCTCCAGCCCAGATACCAAAACCAAAGAGGGGAGGGAGAGAAGATTGACTCTTGGCCCAGAGGTAGGACAGAGGAGGACTGCAAAACCTTGGGGTGCCCAGTGATGTCCCAGATGTGCAGAAATGCTGATTGGAGGACACTAACTGTCCATCTGAGACCCTCCGAGTCCAGTTCCTCAGCTGGGCAGACAGTCTCCCGGACTTCCCTGGGCCCACACCTACAAGATGCCTTCCTGCATCTCTTCAGTGGAAGGTACTCTCTTTCTGCCTGAGGCTGCAGGAGGACATGGGAACTGGGAGGTCTTGTCCTGGCTCAGCCACCTGGGTGGTCATTGCCAATAGTGTTAATGATCCTTGAAGAATTTGTATCTCAAACTCTGTCAGATGCTGTGGAGGGCACAGAGGTACACTGGGTCCCTGCTGTCAGGTGGGGAAGAACAGATAAGAGCATACATAACTGGTGTTAGGGGTGGCCCTAGCTGTGTGCTTGGGCTTTCCATGCATTATCACTAATCCTTACAACAGTTACTAGCCCTCTTTTCTTGAGGAGCAAACTGAGGCTCTGAGGGCATGCCCAGGGTCTCCCAGGAGCCAAGACCAGTTTCAGACTCTGGTCTGTCTGCTTCTAGAGCTTCTGCCCTTTTCACTGCCATGCTCAAGGAGCTCAGAGATGGTGGGGGCCTGCCCTGAGGTCACACAGCTGGAAGAACCAGGAGAGGCCCAGGTCCAGGACTCATCCCAGCCTCACCGCCGCCTCTGTGGTCTCCCAGTACGGCCCAGCATCAGACATGGGCACATAACTGCTTTTCAGAAAATACAAATGCACTCCTGTCTGGTGTCATATTAAACCACAGGACCACTCCAGTCCCCATTGAGCCATTATCTGTCCCAGGCCCTTGCAGCATGCTGGTCCCCCAGGAGATTTGGACTCCTGGGGATAGCACCAGATGGCTGCTTGGCTGGGTGACTCAGGCTCTCAGAGTTGACAAAATTGCACCCAGCCTGAAGGCTGTCTGCTCTGGCAGATGGAAGCCCATGTTTGTAGTGATGTTGGCCATCTGTTGACTGCTGGGAATGATGAACTCCTCCCAGGCCCTATCTGGGGCCAACTTAGCTCGCTCAGGGTAATTTGTTGGGGAAACTCGTTGGGGGCAAAGTGCAGCCTCTTACTTCCCTAGAACCCCAGCCAGAGACCTCAACATACGCTCCCCTTATCCAGAGTACGGAGTACAAAGACTTCAGAGTGCACGGAGGGAGGGTTGAGAGGGGCCCTGGCTGTTTCCGCTTGGGGAGGGGCACTTGCCAGACTTCCTCTCTCATCCTTGAAGTGCCTGTGCCAAGAGTAGGGAGCATGATCTCCATTTCATCTATGACAAAGCCAAAGTTCACTTTTCTAAAACACTGTCATTAGAAACACCCTCATGGGCCTGGAATGGCAAGCAAGGCCTCCAGGTCTCCAGAACCAGTGCTCCTTCACCTGCACCTGCTGGTGCCCAGCCTCCGAGAGGCCAGGGGCCGGGCTGCTGGACTGAGAGTCCAGTGCTCTTTCTCCAGCAACATTGGGCCCATCCACCTTGATTTGAGTGAGTGATGCAAGTATCAACTCTTTAATAAGGGAAAGGATTAATTTTTAAAAGATGGTTTGTTGGCTTTTAAAATTTTAAATAATCAACTATACTTCAATAAAAAATATTTTTTAATAAAATGATAACGTGTGGCCAGTTAAAGTCTGAAATGGGCCAAACAATGATTTGATTAAGAAATATTAGAAGTACCACTAGATCAGCTCTTCTGTTTCTAAGAATGAGTCCTAAAGCATTGCTTATAGTTGTGGGAATTGGCAACACCCCGGGCGTCCCTCCTTGAGGGTGGGACGAGGACGCTGAGGTGCGACCAGACGAGGAGGAGTCCCCTCACTCTTGCTGGTGGTGGCGGTGCTCAGGGACATGCCATCATGTCTAGTAAGGCCCCGAGCAGCTTCCCTTTTGGTTTTTAATATTTCTAGATGGTGTGTATGTGCATTTGTTGTGACCTGATGTCCTCAGGCTCACCCATGTTGTAGCATGTAACAGGATTTCCTTCCTTTTTCAGGCTGAATAATATTCCATCGTGTGTATATGCCACATTCTGCTTATCCATTCACCGTCAGGGGACATGTGGGTTGGTCCCATCTCTTGGGTGTTGTGAATGATGCTGCTATGAACTTGGGTTGTTTCTATTTTTAAAGAAATGGAAAGAAGTGTTTCAGTGCAAAATCTGTTAACTACACATCATGGAGAAGTGGAGGGCCCCAGATTAGGATTGGGAGTCCTCTGTTGTGGCAGGTTTTCCCACCTGTGGGGATCCACCAGCTCCTTTTAGTCCTCTTCCTTCTCCTTTCTTGGGCTTCAGTGTCCTCCTGTGACAGCAAGTGACCTGCTTGACCAGGTGGTCTCCCCGGGCCTGCCAGCCACCGGGTTTTCTGAATCCGAGGTCCATTCGCACTCCTCATCTCGTGCTTCCTGCCCTGACTCCATCCCTTCCCTGCTTCCTTTCTCCCTGTCTCATTCTGCAGCTGGGATTCTGGGGTGGGAGGAGAGCCTCCCGGGCTGGAAGTAGGAAGGGGGAGGAGGCAGCTGGATGTAATGGAATGGGCTTCAGAGTTGACTCTGCCAAAGTTGGGAGAAAGATACCTGCCTGATGCTGGGCCTCAGGAGAGCCTGAACAGTGGTGTCTGCTGGTTAATTCGCCCAGGCACTTACCAGGGTCCTCTCCAAATCTCTGCCAAACCAGAAAATGGTCTCAGCTTCTCAGTTATCCTGGAGCCACAGGAATGATGATCTCTCTCAGCAGAGCCTGAGAAGCTGCTTCATTCCAAACATTCCAGTTTGGTTCGCAACCACCTCCTCACCCCACCTTCCAGCCACGCCCAAGAATGCCCACAGCCCCACACAGGTTCTTTCATTCCTCTGGGCCTTTGCTGGAGCTGTTGACTCAGCTCGCTTGGAAAGCCCTTCCAGCCTTCATCTCCTACCTACTGCTTGACTGTCTCTGGTCCTCCTCATTCTTCACGGATCAGCTTCAACTGTTCTGCCTTTCTGTAGAATATACTGGTCTTCCCCCACCTCCATCCCAGGTAGAAGTCATTGTTCTCTGCTCTGTATCCCCAGCAATACCCTTGCTTCCCTCTTGCAGTACATCACTCCATTATAGTAGTTCACTTTTGTTCCCATCAGCCTTGGTGGTTTTTGAAGGTGAGAACTCTGACTGATCTCCCTCCGGGCCACTGACACCCAGCCCAGGGCCTGGCACTGAGTGGGGCTTAATAACGTTTGGATGGCTGGAGGGAAGGGAGAGAACCCAGAAGAGGGCCAGTCTGTGGTCCCCAGGTTTCAGAAGTTGCATGCTAATTCGATCCTGCCATTAATTTCTCAGATAAGGTCATGATTTGGAGCAGTTCTCTTCCAAAATGGAATCATTCTTAGCAATAACCCTATCTAGCTGATTCATTTAGTTGAATACTTTGGTGTGGATACAGGTAATGTGTTTCTGGGGAACCATATTCTCTGGCATGGAGCAGAGCAATGGCCCAGAGCCCCTGCCTACCAGGTCTGAGGCTCACATGGGCCTGGCCGCTGGGCTGCCTGGCTTCTGATATTCTGATCCTGGCCTTAAGTGAACCCACATCCCTGCTTTGGGACAGGACAGGTCCTGGGGAGGTTGGGGGCTTGAAGGCGTGGAGAGCCAAGCAGACCTAGAGTTTCCATGTGCATACAGTGCCCCTGCCAAGGAATAAATGGCAGTCTGTTGCTTCTGAGCTCTCTCCGCTTTCTTGCACAGGCCTGCAGGCATTGCTTGGTGGCCCGAGGGGCTGGGCACAGTGGACAGCATGAGGCTCTGTGTGTGCTTTAGCCTGAGGATTGCCCATGCGTTTCCTCTCAGGTGCTCTCCCAGCTCCATCGGTAGCAACTACTTGATGCTATATTTGGGATTCTGAGGACTCCACTAGGCTTAGCAGGAAGGAATATTGACATGAGTCAGTCAGGTCTGCCACAGGAGCTGGAGAGAAGGGCCACGCCGGTGTGCCACAGGCCGCCTTCATGACTGACCGAGCACAGCCTTGTGATGATTTGGGATTGAATTCCACTCTACTCTGTGGGGCTTCAGTTTTCCCATCTCTGAAATGGACACATATCAGTCAGGGTTCAGGCTCAGCTGCTGTAACAAAGAAGCCTCCGAGTCCTCTGGTCTAAAACAATCTGGAAGTTATTTCTCTCCTGCCTTCTCGTGGAAGAACCCAGAGGTTCAGTGAGCAGTTCTGAGCTAGTAACGCAACTGCTGTCCTCATCATACACCTTCTGCTCATGAGCCGAGGGGCTGCTCCAGCTCTTGCCATCTCCCAGCCAGAAGGAAGGGCAGCGTGCATGGTGGTTTTAAAGGGAGGACCCAGAAGCTACCCACATAATTTCTTGCATCCCGTTTAGGCAGAATAGTCACTGGGCTACCCCTCGCTACTAGCCTGGCTGGGAAATGTGGTCTTCAGCTGGAGAAAATGAGCCGGCCCGGAGGATGACGCTAGCCACCCCTCAGGGCTGTTAGGAGAGCTGGTGAATGTAGCAAATGCCAAGTCCCTGGCACCTCACGGGCCTTCCCCGAGTTCACGAGGTGCTTCCTTTCCTCCCCCAGGAGCTGGTGAGGATCCTGCACAAGGCGCTAGAGGCTGCCCAGCAGGAGAAGAGGGCGTCCAGCGCATACCTGGCAGCAGCCGAGGACAAGGACCGGCTGGAGCTGGTGCGGCACAAAGTGCGGCAGATCGCAGAGCTGGGCAGGCGGGTGGAGGCCCTGGAGCAGGAGCGGGAGAGCCTGGTGCAGACGGCCGGCCTGCAGGAACAGCAGGTGCAGGAGCTGCGGCGGCACGTGCAGCTGCTCATGGACAAGAACCAGGCCAAACAGCAGGTCATCTGCAAGCTGTCTGAGAAGGTCACCCGGGACTTCACGCATCCCCCTACCCAGCCGCCTGGGCCCCCAGGGGCTGCCGACAGGGACTTCCTGAGCCAGCAGGAGAAGATGGAGCACCTGAAGGTAAGGGCCCCTCCCGCAGGCCCTGGGCCCTTGGGGGACGTGGGCGCACTGCTCTCAACCCTAAGGGTTTCCAAATAGAGCAGGGATAAACCTTCATACCGAAATTGATATTGGTGGAAATACTGCTACGCACTTCCTCACTGTCTTAACCAGAAGGTCCGGTGCAATTTGACCTTTTCATGATATCCTAGGCTGGAAAGGGAAGGTATCTCTAGATGATTATTCGAGGTTTAAGAGCACAAGACAAGGTCAGAACCCCTGAGTGCCTGACCAGCTAAGTGCCATGCTGATGCCCTGGGGAGTCCCCAAGGTGCCTGGTGGCCTCCCCCAGCACGCAGTCCAGGTGATGTGGGGCCAGCAGGACTCGCGGCTCCTCTGTGAGACTGTGTGCTGCCCGGTGGCCACTGTCGTGGGTGCCCCGCTCGCATCATCTCATCTGATGCTCCACCAGCCCTGTGAGGCCATCACTTGTGTGCTCCCCACTGTGGGCAGGAAGGCTGAGGCTGAGAAGGGCCCGCGCACGGAGGGGCTGGGGAGCTGGAGCTCTCTGACTCGCGTCTGCTCTGCTGCCTTCCAGTTTCTTTGGGCCTTCCCTCCTGCCACCGCCCCTGCCTCCCCCTGGCGCAGGCGGCGGCTCTCACCTGGGGAGGCTGCGCCCTCCCGGAGACCGATTGCGGCTCGGGGAGCAGGAACTTAATTTATGTGTGATGCCTGCCGTGGTGACAGGAGCTGCTGGGCCACCTGAGGGCCTGAGGCTGGGGATCGGTGCTCATAACCCCTACTGTCCTTAAAGGCAGCTGTATAACCAGGGCCGGTCCTGCCCTGAACCCCGCCTTGCGCAGCCGCACATGTATACATATGTATGTATAACCAGGGGAGCGTCCTTGTCTTGGGACCAAAGCATTGCTGCTGGAAGAGGGGAAGCAGGAGGAGAAAAAGAAAACTCCAGAAGCTTTTGAAAGACCAGTGGGCAATGTGGTACAGTGGCCGCTGCCCCAGCTGTGAAGTCAGGCCTAGGTTTGGACCCAGGCTCTGCCTCCTACTAGCTCCTACTAACTGTGTCACCTCGGGCAAGGCCCCTCACCTCTCTTTAAAATGGCCTCACTGTCCTTCCTCATGAGGTTGACAGGGGGGTGAAGGAAGATAACATGAAACCCAGATCCCTCCTGTTTCCTTCCCCATGAAAAACCACCTAACCAGTTTTTGAATCTTTTCCCTTTAAAATCAGATTCTTTTGAGTTCAAAATGAAAATAAAATCCTTTCAAATGCAGATGGAGCGAGGCTGGGGCTGGAAAATTGCTTTCATCAGATTGCCTCCCTACCCTCCTCTGCCCTGCTAAGTAAGAGTCTTCTGTCTGCCCGTCCTGCTGGAATCCACAGGTGAAGACCCCGTAGAGCAGCTCGGGGATCAGAGAAATAGATCTGTTGGGCGCTGCCAAGAGCCGACTGGAAGCCTGGACTCGCCATAGGAGACAGAGTGTGCCCCTGGCTTTGTATGTTCGGGAATTTATCAGTGAGCCCAAATAGAGGAAATTCCTATCAACCAAACTTACCTTGCTGCTGATCCTCAGAGGCCCAGTGTTTGTGCCAGAAAGAATTGCATGTGCTCGAGTTCCTCATGTGTTAGCCTTTACATGTCTGATCTAGAAAAATAGAAGACTCCTCCAAAATCCATAGTCTTTCTGTTTGAGGACAGAGCAATGTTCACATCTCCCCCTTGCCCTGGGACGAAGGACATGCGACTTTAGGGAAATGCCCCCTTGTTGAAGCTGCCAGTTTGAGAACAGAATCATTGACCTCCTGAATATCGGAGCTGGGAAGACTCAGAGATCTAGTCTTTGACATTTTCTGGCAGGGACAGCTGAGCCCGGACAGGGGTCCAGGGTCCCACAGCACAAGCAGCAGGGTTGCAGCTAGGCCCCAGGTCTCCCCACACGCGATCCACTGCCTTCCCTACTAGCACAAGGGCTAGTCCGTGTGGCGTTTCCCAAAGAGAATTCCCGGGCTCCTGATCCCTATGAAGACAGACAGGCAGACTCTCTCCTTCCTGTCCCCTTTCTCCAGCTGTTTTCCTCCTTTGCTTGCCGGTGACTGTCGTGTGGCTTTCCTTTCTCTGAGCTCTCTCTCTTTTTCCTCCCTACAGTCCTGAGCCACGAAGAACACTCAAGGTAGGGCGATGAGCTGAATGGGGAGGTGCTGCCCAGACGCCCCCCCACCCCACCCCCAGGCTGCTCCCAGGGGTGCTCACACATGCCCTCGCATCTGGGCTGCAGGCATGGTGCCCCCGGCCATATGTCCAAAGCCTTGGAAATGACGGAGCATCTCAGGGCCTGGGGTGAGGATGCAGGGACGGTAACAGGAGGCAGAATGGAGCGGCCGTGTAGAGCGGCAGACTCTGCTGATGCGCTTTCACCCAGCAATAATTTTCCATTCCCCTGTGGACCACACGCACCTGGCTTGCATCCTGCCTCTCTCGCGTTCTAGGCACGTGACTGAGGAGGACTTCCCCTCTCTGTACTTGTTTCCTCATCTGTAAAGTGGGAACGATGGTACTTTAATATGTAGTGCACAGCATGGTGGAGATAAATTAACACACAATAATGTGTGGGAGGTAAATGGCTCTGGCACATAGTAGGACCTCAGGCAACAGGTCGCTCTCTTCCTCCCTTGCCTGGAAGCGTGTTGTATTTTCTCAGGCGTTTGGGAAGAATGCACAACAGCATCATATCAAAAACAATTAACAGTAATTAACTCATAGTATGGTAGTATCCAGTCAGTGTTAAAATTTCCCAGTTGATCTGTAAATGTTATAAATAGCTTTGGGGTTCTTTTATATAATCTTTTTAAATAAATAAAATAAATCCATAAAAAAAAAGAACGCACAACAGCAGCAGTGGGAAGTCTCTGGGCGGGGGCAGGAGGAGTGCAGCGGGTGACAGTAGCTCTCCAGGTGCGGGGAGAACCCAGAGAAGGACGTGACACTTGTACTCACCACGCACCAGCCACCATTCTCAGCCTTTTGCACGTATTAACTAATCACATCCTCCCAAGAGTGCCTGAGGCCGTGGTGTTATTGTTCCTGCTTTCCAGGTGAGGGGAGGAGCCCCGGAAAGGGCGAGGAACTCGTGCTGGGCTCAGTGGTGAAGGCAGGATTTCTACCCAGGCAGCAGGGCCCCAGGGCCCGCTCCCTGACCACTAGGCAGCGCCAGCGTCTCTGCTGTGGTGTTACTGTACTCGAGGGTCAGAGGGGTCAGACAGGCCTGCGTGCAGCCAGCCAGACTGCCGAGCACAACCGCTGAAGTGTGGGACTAGACATTTGGCATCCAGGTGGATGCCAGCGGGGGACAGAGCTTGGGGAGGATCTCGGCTGTAAGTGCAGTGGTTGGACATGGCTTTTGAATCAGACACATCTGGGCTCGGTCACCCCCGGTCTCATAGAGCTGTGTGACCTCAGACAACGTACTTGTCCTTTCAGAGCCTCGGAGACCGCATCTGAGTTCCTTTCAGGGCTGCCGGGGAGATGGAATGGGATGATGTGCTCAGCGCAGGGCAGGGGCACAGGGTGATGGTGCAGGGGGCCCGCGCAGCTTCTGTGTTCACAAATCTGTGAGTCTCCAGACACCCAAACGGAAGACTATCACGGGCAGGGGGAGGGGGCCTGGAAAATCCTGATGCCCACAGGAGGTGGGTCCTCGTGCGGCAAACATGAGGGTTCACACCAGGCTCACCACGCCTCCACCTAAAGGTAAGAAAATGGGGGCTGCAGAGAGGAAGCAGGCAGATGCTTGTGCAGAAGAGCGGCTGGTACGCCTTGGCAGCATTTCTGAGAAAAGGGAGCCCAGAGTTTGACCTAAGGGAGACATGGCGGGAGAGTAGGAGGAAGTCCAGGCTGGGGAGTTGGAACTACCTGGGTCCAGGCCGGTGGAGAGAGCAGAGAGCGAGCTCAGCCTGAGGACACGAAGCCTGGCAGTCTGGGCACAGTGAGGGATCAGAAGCAGGGGTGGCCAGGGCAGGAGACACCTCGGACAGCCCCAGTGGGGTGGTGAGAGGCCATGTGTTGAAGCCAGCCGGGGGCTTTTGTTTCTAGCTAAGGAACCCTGGGAGCATGTGGCCCTCCCACTGGGTCAACCATCTAGGCAGAAGGCAGCAGACCCTGGGTATGAATTGGAGCTTCTGGGCTGGGAAGGATCTTGGCCAGGATGCAGGCCCACCCCGGGAGGGTCAAGACAGCCTGTGAGCTGTGTACACGTGACCCATCCCTGATAATGAGGTGCCACAGTCATCACAGGTGTGATGCTCTTAATTTCCAGATAAATCAGGGCTATCCAAGGTCACGCCTGCAATAGTGTCTCTCTCATGCACTTACAGCCCAGTACATTTCTTGAGTGGGAGCAAAAGGGGTTGAGTTTCAGCTAGTGAATGTCCTGGAATTGCTAGGTATAGCTGTGAACGTGCACTGTCCATTGCTTCTGGAATGTCCATCCCAGCGGAATGAAGGTTGAGGGCCAATGCTGTGGTTGCTCCTTTCTGCTTCTGCTTGAGCCTCCCCAGTGCTTGGCCAGCTTCTCCTCAAATGCCCCAGCAGCAGGATCTCACTCCGTCCGCTGGACAGCTTGCAAAAGGAAAGCTCTAGGTGCAGAGATGCGCATCACAGCATTATTCATAATCAAAAACTAACCGAAAACACTCAGGGCTCAAATAAAAAATAACAGGGAAAGGATTATAACTAAGGTATAGTAAATCCACCCAACAGAATAGTCATCAGACATTAAAAGTGATCACTGGGAAGCTTATGTAACATAGAGTACAGTTGACCCTTGAACAACACGGGTTTGAACTGCACGGATCCACTTAAGGCAGATTTTTTCTGATAAATACGGTACAGTACTGTTAATGTATTTTCTCTTTATGATTTTCGTAGTATTTTCTTTTCTCTAGCTTACTTTATTGTAAGAATACAGTATATACTACACATAGCATATGAAATGTGTGCTAATTGGCTCTTTGTTCTCAGGAAGGCTTCGGTCAACAGTAGGTGATCAGCATTTAAATTTGGGGGGGGGGGATAGTCAAAAGTTATATACAGATTTTCCACTGTGCAGCGGGGGTGGGGTTCAGCACCCCTAACCCCAGTGTTGTTGAAGGGCCATTGTATTTACAAGGTGACATTAAGTAAAAAATTTTCCACCCAAAATTGTTCGGTATGATTGCAAATATGTGAAAACATATGTTTATTTTTAAAACAAACACTACTTGGATGTTTGTTTGTTTTGGTCTTTATACTTAGTGTTATGACACATGTTACCTCAGGTCATCTCCCAGCTGCCCAGTGGAGTAGTATTTGTCCCTTTTACAGATGAGAAAACAGAGGGTCAGAGTTGTTCAGTGAAACCTCCCAGCCAGGAAGTCAGAACCACAACTTGAACTCCAGGCTTGACGCCCTCTCTACTGTATCATGCTGGGATCAAGATTAGTGAAGGGGCTGTCGTTAATACTACTTCTTCTAGACTTTCTCTTCTGTTGTCATTATTAGAGATTTCTAAAGGAAGGAAGTGTTGGCAGCTCATTTGAGGGTGAGGATGAGGGAGATGTTTATGGTGCAACTCGTCAAATGCTTTGCTCTCTTCTCCAGGATGACATGGAAGCATACCGGACCCAGAACCGCTTCCTCAACTCCGAGATCCACCAGGTCACAAAGATCTGGAGAAGGGTGGCTGAAAAGGAAAGGGCCCTCCTGATGAAGGTAAGAGGCAGAGTCCATCTCCATGCCCAGCCACCCTTCGGGCCCTCACCTTCTTGCCCCATATCACTCTGTCCTTATCACCTGCTCTACCTCTGGACTGTGCCCTTTACGAGCTGCCTTTCCAGCCTCAGGCATCTGTGCTCTGATTGCTGCTTCTGATCACAGAAATGCAGAGGAGGAGGCAGGCAGTCATCTCTGCACCTCCCCTACCGGCTAGAGTAACTTCCAGAGGATTCAAAGGGCTGCCACTCTTCCCCTCCCCCCTTCATTTCTCTTTTTTTCCCTCCTGTTTGGGAGCCAGATATTAAAGACTAGATATTCCAAAACAGCTTCATATATGGGGAAATTAGAGAGTGTCCGTACACATCCAGGGAAAGACTCAGAAAAGACTTGAGAGCTTAAGTTTACATCTTAGGCTACCCTTGGCACAGAGACAGCCTATAACAATCAAAAAACAAAAACAAATTTTTCTCAAATTGGGAGAATCTGATTTCTAGTGTTCAGATGTCCAGTTTTCAACAAAAAAATCTCAGGGGATACAAAGATACATGAAAGTGTGGTCCATTTGAAGGAAAAACATAAATCAGTAGAAAACTGCCCCTGAAAAAGATGTGGTACTGGGTAATACTAGACAAAGACTTTAAAACAGTTGTCTTCAAGATGCTCAAAGAACTAAAGGAAGATGTGGAGAGTCAAGAAAGCAATGTATGAACAAAATTGAAATATCAAAGAGTTACAAAACCTAGAAACCCCCCCCCCAAAAAAATTCTGGAGCTGAAAAGTACAATAACTGAAATGAAAGATTCACCAGAGGGATTCAAAGGCAGATTCAAGCAGGCAGAAGGAATCAGTGGACTTGAAGATAGGACAGTGGAAATTATTCAGTCTGAGAAACAGAAAGAAAAAAGCTTGAAGAAAAGTGAACAGAGCCTAAGTGATCTGTGAGACCCCATTAAGCAGACCAACATACCCATTATAGTATGGTTGTCCCAGAAAGAGAAGAGAGAGAGAAAGGGGCAGAGAGAATATGAGAAGAAATAAAGGCCGAAAACGTCCCAAATTTGATGAAGACATAAATAAAAACAACCAAGAAGCTCAACAAACTTGGAGTAAGATGAACTTGAAGAACTAGAAAAAGAAGAACTAAACCCAAAGCTAGCTGATGGAAAGAAACAATAAAGATCAGAGCAGAAATCAATGAAATAGATAACAGAAAAATAATAGAAAATCAATGAAACCAAAGTTGATTTTTTGAAAAGATGATCAAAACTGGCAAACCTTGAGCTAGGTGGACTAAGGAAAAAAAGAGAGAGGACTCAAAATCAGAAATGAAAGGGGCACATTACTACTGATTCTGCAGAATAAAAAGGATTATAAGAGTACTATGAACAGGGGCACCTGGGTGGCTCAGTCAGTTAAGCGTCTGCCTTCAGCTCAGGTCATGATCCCAGGGTCTTGGGATCGAGCCCCATGTCAGGCTCCCTGCTTAGTGAGAGCCTGCTTCTCCCTCTCCCTCTGCCTGCTGCTCTGCCTACCTGTGCTCTCTCTCTCTCTCTGTCAAATAAATAAATAAAATATTTTTTTTTTAAAAAGAGTACTATGAGCAATTGTATACCAACAAATTGGATCACCAGATGAAATGGATAAATCCCTAGAAACACAAAGCCTGCCAAGACTAAATCATGAAGAAATAAAAATCTGAATAAACCTATAACTAGTAAGGAGACTGAATTAGCAATCAGAAATCTCTCAACAAAGAAAAGCCCTGGACCTGAAGCCTTTACTGGTGAATTCAACTGAACATTTAAAGAAGAACTAACAAGAGGCCTTCTCAGGCTTTTCAAGGAGGGTGCATGCAGACTAGTGAGGGATTCAAACACAATCAAGCTGCAGTTGGGCACACAGGATTCTTTGGGGCCCAAAGAGAGGAAGAAAGTCAGGGAGGGCTTCCTAGTGGGGGTACCTTCTTCAGCTGAGTTGTAAAAGTGAGTTAGTGTTATCCAGGCAAACAGAGTAGAGAAAGGCCTTCCAAGAAAAGAGATAGCATGGTCAAGACCTGTGGACCAAGAGGTGGGGGAAGGTGGGGAGGGAGATGTGAGGCTGGAGGGGAGGAACCTTGGGACATTCTCTGAGGAAACTGGGAGTTGTAGAAGGGTTTTGAGTGGCGAGGCCCTCAATCAGACTTATGTTTTGAGAAAGCTGGGGGCTCGGTGGGCTTATGGAGGTGGACAGGGGAGCACAGAGACTTGGGAGTCTGTAGCAGAAATGCCTGAGAGTACTGGGAGGGGACTTGGGAAGGTGGCAGAGGGACGTAGATGTGGGAGCCAGCTGGAGGGGGAGGAGAGCAGGCTCACCCGATGGCCTGGAGTTGGTGCTCAGCCAATGTTTGGAGAGTGCAGCATAATGGCAGCCTTGGCCAGGCGGCTTGCACTCTTCCACCCCAGGATGAGACAGGAGCCAGCCTGGCCCAGAGGGCACGGCGATTCGCTGAGGCTGATTCTTTCTGTCCAGCTTCCACAGAAGGAGAGTGGGCCCAGGAAAATTACCGGACTTGCTCAGCACACCCGGCTTATGGAAAGAGAAATACAGAAGTTCAAGACAGGGGCAGGGAGTACACAGGAAGGACACCGGTGGGAGAGAGGCGGTGTGTCAAAGGAATGGAAAGAGCCGATATCGCAGAGGCAGAGGCACGGGGGCAGTGGCCAAAGTTATGTGGCCATCTCCTGGGCACTGCTCAGTGTTACCACCGACAGAGAACTGCTCTAGGCCAGGTGCCCTGGGAGGGCCTTTACACACATCTGCTCATCTAATCCCCACCAGAATCCTGGGGCAGACTCTCTATTATTTCCATTATTTAGATGAAGAAGCTAAGGCACAGAGAGGCTAAGTAACTTGCCGTAGGTCCCCCAGCCAGCAGTGGCTGAAGCAGGATGGGACTTGCAGTCCCCAGCAAGAACGTGCACTGCCCGTGCCCACCTCTCCCCTCTTTCTTCTGAATCCGGCTGCAGCCCTGGGCCTGGCTTTCTTGCCTGGCTCTCTTGCCTGGAGCCTCTTTTACCTTGCTATAAACCCTTGGGTTCAGGGCCCATCTCCTTTCCCTTAGATGACGGGCTGGGGGTGGGAAGGGGATGGAAGATGAGGCTGGAGAAGGACTTTGCTGCCTATAGCTGTTCAGGCCTCTGGGTCGGGGGGGGGGTGCGGCAAACCCAAGCAGGTGGCCTGACAGCCCCACCCCTCCCTCCACAGTGTGCCTACCTCCAAGCTAAGAACTGCCAGGTGGAGAGCAAGTACCTGGCCGGGCTGCGGAGGCTACAGGAGGCCTCGGGGGGTGAGGCCACTGAGTGCTCAGAGCTGCTGAGGCAGCTCATCCAGGAGGCGCTGCAGTGGGAAGCCGGGGAGGCCTCAGCCGATGGCGTGGAGCTGAGCCCCATCAGGTGAGCCCAACAGCCAGTGAGGGTGGGTCTTGGTCTGCACGACCTGAAGGTCCCCAGCCGCCCTGGTGCTGGCTCCTGCTGACCGCGTACAAGCATTGCACGTCCCTTACTTTCTCGTATCTTCAGACAAACGAGCATGTGCTTGGGATGAACCCCATATTACAGTTGAGGTGATGCAGGCTCAGAGGAGGCCGCCCCTTGCCCAAGGCCACACAGCGTATTCATGCAGCTGACCTGGGTCTGCCTCCAGAGCTCCATTTTTTTCACTTCCCCAGGCTGCCTCCCCAAGGTGTTTGTCAGAGGGGGGAGGAGGGGAGAAAGCCAGCTGCCTTCCCTGAGCCAAGTCCTTGCTGAGCACAGTGAACATGGGCAGTTAAATATAACAGAAGGTGCTGTGGCTTGGGTCCAAAGGCCCCTGGAGGCTGGGTGGCCAAGGGGAAGGAGCCCAGGCTTTGGAGCCAGACTGGGCTCTCTCACTATGTGACCTTGGACAAGTCACTTTACCTTTCTGGGCCACGTATTACCCTCCGTCAGATGTGGGCTAAGATCCCTGCTTTGCAGGATCAGTAGGACTAAATGAGACAGCACATGCAGAGCACACAGTAAGGGCAAATAACTGTGGAATCAGTAAAAGGCCATCTGGACTGGACCCCTGGTTCTCCCATCTTGCTTGTCATTGATGCTGCCTGCTCCCCATCCAGCCTTGGGCTTACTCTCTGCCCAGGTGGGATTCTATATTGGCAGTGTCGACTGCTTGAGCCTAAGGCTTCATGGAGTAATAAGAGGGTCCTTTATATTTGCACTGAACACACTTACTATGCACTTACAAGGCACCAGGCACTGTCTAGGCCCCCAGCATTTTACAACAGAGGAGGTCAATGGGTCTTCATGAGGCAGAGCAGGAATTCTTCTACCCATTGTGAAGAGCAAACTGCGGTTCAGAGAACTGACGTGACCTGCCCAAAGCTGCATGTCACCCACAGTGAAACCCAGGCAGGAACCTTGCCTGGGGTCCCCCCTCCCCCTCCCTGCCCTGCCCCTTATCCAGGGAAGGGCTCTGCAACATGCTGCTAACATAGGCTTTTGCTGGCAGTGAGTATGATGAGTATGGCTTCCTGACGGTGCCCAACTTCGAGATGGAAGACCTGAAGCTGCTGGCCAAGATCCAGGCACTAGAGGTGCACTCCCACCACCTGCTGGCCCATGAGGCCGTGGAGCGGCCGCTGCGGGAGCGCTGGGCTGCCCTGGGTGATCTTGCACCCTCGGTCGAGCTCAAGCAGCTGCTGCGGGCAGGTGTGCCCCGAGAGCACCGGCCGCGTGTCTGGAGGTGGCTGATCCACCTCCGCGTCCGGCATCTGCAGAGCCCCGGCCACTACCAGGAGCTGCTGAACCGGGGCCAGGTCCGCGAGCATCCTGCCGCCCGCCAGATTGAGCTGGACCTGAACCGTACCTTCCCCAACAACAAGCACTTCACCTGTCCCACCTCCAGCTTCCCCGACAAGCTACGCCGGGTGCTGCTGGCCTTTTCCTGGCAGAATCCCACCATCGGCTACTGCCAGGGCCTGAACAGGTAAGCATCAGAGCCCTAGTGAGGGCACAAGGTTCTTTAGAGCCTCCCGAGAACCTAGAGAGGTGAGTCCGGTAGGCTTGATTCCCACCATACAGATGGGGACAACATGGACATGTTCAAGATGGGGACAGGACAGGTTCAAGATGGGGGGGACCTCCTCATGCTATGTTCTCTCTTTTGACTTGTGCTCAGTACCACTCATACAGAGACCCTGGTGAATGGCCCCCTGGAATTTTGTAGTGCACACCTCAGCTCACATATTGCAGAACTGCCTGGGTCAAGGATCATTTACTTTAAACAAAACCCATTCAAGGGAGCCCAAGAAAAAGAGAATTGGTAAATGCCACAATAGAGGTTCATAAAGGCCAGGAAACGAAAATAGAGGACAAGACCAGATGGTCATTAGAAACCAAGGCATCTCCTCTCTCCAGCAGGGCCACAGCACTACACAACCCCAGGGGTGCCATGGGGTCAAGTCCCTGAGGCTGGGCAGCACCACGGTCCTGCTCTGCAGCCCCCTGTGGGGCCGCACCATCCCTGGCCTCTCTCGTTCTACATGTCTGCTTCCTTTTCTCAGCAGACTAGCCTCTGTCCGTCGTCATTCCTTGGACATTTAGGGCCCTCGAGGCTGTCAGAATGGAGACCTCAGTCCCTGAGTCTGGAACCTTTTCAGCAAATCTTCCCACTTGTTGACACCCTCATGTCCCAGGCAGAAATTCCCAAAGGAAGGAATGTGACTGGCCCAGCCTGGATTCATTTCTGCTTCTGGTCTAATAGCAGGACGGAGGGGACTGGGGGTGGAGGTGAGATGGGGTGACCTGCTAGGGCTACCCCCTCCACTACCTCAGGACTCTCATGGATGCCCCCCAGCTATCTCGATAGAGGTTACATAATTTCAGATAGTCCCCAAAGCAAGTTTTGACTCACTTAAATTTAAATACACATATATTCAAGCAAAATTTACATAAGACATTCTGCTCTCTCCCCCCAGTAGGTGGTGTGTGACATTTATTTAACACAGAATAAGCATTCAGGGAGTCCCTACTCAAATTTGAATGATTCCTAAGGGTAGAGATTTTTGATACTGACTTCCAGCCTAAATTGGGTGAAACTGAGCATATATACGTGTTCAGTTACTGGAAATTCAGAGTTAAACTACAGCACAGCTAATACAAGGGGGGGACAAGGGGAAATCCTGTAGCGGGAAGGGTCTTGAGATAAACCTCCCAGAAGGAAAGAAGCTTCTCCCTGTGTGGAAAAAGGCAGCACAAAGGCTGTGGAGGGATATGTAGGAAAAACAGACAGAGAGAGGGGGGATGACACCCAGGAGTATTTCTTTAACTCTTTCTCTGAATGCTTTTTTCTTTCTTTGTTTCTTTTTTTTTTTTACTGATAATTGATGTTTAGGCAAATATTCATATTATTGCTTAAAATCGAAAGTTACTTATAATGGGAAGAGCCCCTTCACATGTGGAGAGTGGGGCCCTTCAACCCCACCCTGCGGGCCCCTTTCACTTGTCTGAGCGCCGCCATCTAGTGGCAGCCGGTAGAACTGCGTGCATGGTGTCAAGACAGACCCTGCTTCCGTGCAACAAATCAGCCTGTTTAAAGGGTGACAGATATCATAGTAATGATACAGTGCTAATTTAGGGCAAAAACTTTAAAGCGAATTCTCTTTAAAATATAAGGGGAGTGCATTAGGAGTAGCTGTTTCTTTCCCATATCACCACGCTACCTCCTTTGCAGACCCACTTGAGCCTGAATGCCTTAGGTTGGAGGCTGGCTGTAGCCCGGAGCAGTTGGTAAGCCCTAGTTGGTACCAGCAAACTCTCGCTACTGACCTTGCAATGTGTGCAAAAATCTACGCTGGTGCCGGCAGCCAGCTCCTGGACCGAGCACGTCCTGAGGCTCCAGCGGGATAGGGTAGGGTCGAGAGAACACCAGGCTGGACTTTGGGAGCCCTGGGTTCTGTCTCCACTCTGCCACCAACTGAACGTGTGACCCTGAGCAAGTGACTTCTGCTTTCCAGGACTCGGTCTTCCTATCTGCAATAAGTTTATCTAGACCAGGGTTGACAAGTAGGAAGCACCTGCCTGGAGCCTTGTCTTGTGAGTTTCCGAGGCAGCCTCCAGAGTCAGTGGGAAAGAGCACAATGATTAATTAGTTATGTCTGCCCTGGACATAGACAAAGGGAATGTTGTCATGATTCACTAGTTATGTCTGCCCTGGCATAGGCAAAAGAGAGTGGTGGCCAGTGTTTCACACATTTGCTATCCCTGAACTAAATGACCTCAGAAGACCCCCTTCCCCAGCTTTGAGAGGGGAGAGCTTCCTATTTCCCAAGACACCTGTGACTCTTCCTTTCATCCACTCAGCTCAGACCCAGGAGAGTTTGTACAAATATTTTAGAGTGGAAAGAAATTCCTTCCCAATCCTGGGGAGAGAAAAGGGGTTTCTTTTTTCTTCTTTAAACAGTGTGAACCTCAGAAGAGGTTGGAGATCATGGATCCAGTCTAGTAAGAGCCCAGAGAAGGATAAATAGCTGGACAATGAAATGTGTTCTTTAAGCCCATCAAGAGTGTGAGGCTTCACAATACTATAAGGTGGCATCTCCCTAAGGGTGTTCAGTGGGTGCACTGTACAAAAGGGGCTCCATAACTCCACTGGACAGCCTTGGGTTAGAGTCACTGCAGAATTTCTGCACAGGCTTTTAGTAAGTAAATTCTGCAGTCACTGTTTTGTCACTGCAGAATTTCTCAGAGGCTTTTAGTAAGATGTTGTGTATCATCAGCCTCTAAAAGGGGGCTAGAGGGGTGCCTGGGTGGCTCAGTCATTAGGCATCTGCCTTCGGCTCAGGTCATGGTCCCAGGGTCCCGGGATCGAGCCCCGCATCGGGCTCC